TACTTGAGAGCAGTACTTGGATGCTCCTCCTTGCCTTCTCAGTTCATAACCAAGTTAGTCAATGCCTAAAATCGACTATTATTTAGTCAACTGAATATGCCAGAGAAAAATGTTAATACCATATGTGGAGGATTTCATCATGAGCTGAGAACCATTGGAAGACCTTGGAGTACTGGACAGCTATTTTGTCCTAGTTTGGGACTCTTCAGCAGTACCGTCCACCAAGGTTCAAACCCAAGACCTTCTGGTTACAAGGTCAGTTAGCTGGTAGACCAGTAAGCCACTGTAAACCGATCCAATGATCCTTGAATTCTAACTTCTGCCAATTTACGACATAGCACGACCATTTCGTGATGTCATATTCGATGGGTTACTGCCTCATCTTCAACCTGCTGTACCCTACTGATTACAGCTTCCCACTAGAACCTCAGGTTAACTGCCTGCCTGAATAGAGTCAGTCGCTAGTGAGCATCAGATTAATTTTCAAGTATTGGTTTTGTAGACAGACTTTGTTTGATTGCATGGAAGATTTCATCATGAGCTGACATCAGTTAGATAACCATCGGGTCCCAGTTGCTCAATGGTCTACGAGCTCGTCTTGTAACCAGAAGATCCTGTTTCAAACCCAGTCGGTGGGAGCATACTAATGAAGAGTCTCAAACTGGAACGAAACAACTGTCCAGTACTCCAAGGTTTCCCGGTGGTTCTCTAACCAATTTCACCTCATGATGAAATCCTCCATGCAATTAAACAAAATCCCTACAAAACCAATACTTGAAGTTATCATATATGATTACTTGTAAATACTCTACTTTTTTTGTGTAAGTCTCATTACATCTCACTGAGAGATTTGATCAGTTCTTCTCAGTCAGATATTTCGATTATATCAAAGCATAACAAAAAATGGTTAATTAGTGTCAGCAAAGCAATAAATAACAATAATTGTTATGATTAATTATTTAACTGAGATGAATGCCTGTCTGACTTCAGGTGTTTTGCATTAGTATTAGTGCATACTTAGTTAGTTATCTTCGCTTTCTGTCAACTGAAAGTAGATTATTTTGATGAAATATTATTCAGCATATAAAATGAAAAATAAGGATAGATGATCATATATATATATATATATATATATCGCTGATTTGATAGACAGAATAAATCTAGGGAAATTAGTTAATTTTAAAGTATGCTTGATTAATTGTCAGAGTAAAGCAACTTCCCTGTGGCAAAATAAATAATTTCTTATAAAAATATTACTAGATAGAACAAAACTAGAAAGAAGAAGAAGAAGTAAAGAACGTTTTGGAGAGAAAACCCGAAAGAAAAATAGGAAAGTATATGTGTTGTGTAAGAATTTAGATTAAAGCCAGTTGTGGGGATTTCGACTAGTTTTCATTGTATATGTTGTCAGGTGTTGATATGAGTTATATAATCAATAAAAACCATCAGAGAGCACTAGTCAGATGTTCTTTTTTTTATATTTTTGAACTCCTCAGTGCACGCATCTGTGACGTCACCAGGAATCACCTCACCAGAATCTTTAGAGAATAAGGCTAGCGCATGAAACTATTCAGCCACTTAAGCCAGAATGCATTCGTGCATGAATTCTACCTTTTTCAGCATTACATTGCAAGAATCTCATTGGTTTTAGGTTGGATCACGAGAGAGAAGACATCAATTAGACAAGTATTGAAAACTGAGGAGTAAGTGAGCGGTTATTTCTTCCTAGTCTGATACTCTTTAGTAAAAAAGCATGCACTATAATTTGAACCCAGGATTTTCTGATCACAAAGTGTGATAGTAGACCATTTAAACTTAGTGGAAAGTTGTGACCAGTTGGGTTCACCAATTTAAGTAAGCGGAGATTTACTTGCAGGCTATATATCACGAAATGGTAGAAGTAAGAATTCAAGGACCATTGTGTCGGATCTCTGTGTCTGGGTAGTCTGTACTCTGTGATCATTGCTAGTAATTTCGGCCACAGAAAATGCTTTCTACAGTCTCTTAAAATCGTTCCGCGAATTTCATATTGGAGATTTCAACTCTCATACCATAAGTTGGACAGGGACGCCAATCCTTACCAACAAAACCTTTGACATCTAGTACTTGAAATTTATCTATTGTCTCTAAGATACACACACACTTTTCAGATGTGAACCTGCAATATCATCACAACAGGTGTCAAGGGATAATTTGGCTAGTTTCCGTGAACTTTTCGGAATTGCAGATGGCATTCGGCTGACTCATGACAATTTTCACTCTCCGACGGACTCCCCGGAATGGATTGGTAAGAATTACGATAGATTGTAGTACTCGTCAGTGCCTTTTCGAAATGTTTGGTTAAACGCCTGCTAAATGCGATTCAGGCTTGAAAAAAATGGGCGATTTTGCCAAATGCTATCTCGATTTCACTGTTAAAGGCAAAACTCTCAAGTTTAATGATCCTAACTTGTGATTTCTATCCTCAGGAAAGAAGGCTATCACACTCTACATATAATTCGGAGAAGTATTCATGGAGTTAGCAGTCAGTAAAATATAGGTTATGATCGCGTTTTGAGATTGTTTTCCTATAAGCTTTTATTTGTGACTTGTACTAACTTCAGACAAAAAATGGGAGAAGCTGTCTCCTGAATGAGTCTAAATAGTTAATGGAGACGTTTCATTGTTGGGACCTTTTCCGTTACTTTTACTTCCATTGTTCACCAGTTGTTCGCAGTTGCACTGAAGACGTTTATTTAGCTTACTTTTGGGAAACTTCCTCTCCAATGTAAATCGGATGTGTTGACTGTCGACATTGAGTAATCTGAATAAAGGTACTCAAATCCAGTTGTATAATCGAAACTTCAAATATCTCTACTGTTCGCTGTGTCTTTTTCTGCTTTCATATTTCTTTTTATTCACCTTTATATCGACACATTCCAAGTCTATCCATTCGCAAACAACAGCAGATTTATTCAAAGACCTACGTTGGTTAGATAATTTGAGAAGATCAAGAGGAACTAGACAGCTGCCTCGTCCTAGCTTGGGGAAACGTCAGCAGTACCGAACCATGACATCCGTTCATAGTTAAATATAACATTAAAAAGCACAAAACCGCATCAAAAAAACTAACATAGGAAAATTTGATCAGTCCTTAGTGTTACCTAATTGTGCATTGTATTTCCTGGAATTCTAATGAGATGTCCTAGCCGCTGAGGTTTATCGATCTGACTATTAGGACAGATAATCATCATTAACTTCTAATACCTATAACATCAGATCTTAGACTGATAGAAATTAAAAATCATAGGGCAACCAGATGGCTAGCTGATGAATAACATGCTTGACTTATTATTTGAATGTCATAGGTTAAATCCATGATAGATCTTGAGGACTAATTTCACAACAATAAATATAGTGGGACATTAGGATAATGCAAGCTTCAATTATAGAACCAAAAATCCTCGAGAAGGTCAAGCAGTGCACTAACCAAATAACTTGACTGTGATTGGACATGAGATAGTGACTAATTTCGTGCATATTGTCGTTATTTTGGTGCATACTGAATTCGGTCAGTTAATTTTGCCTTGTAACAACTATGCTAGATGCCTTGTCCCCACGGCGTACATTGAATGGCTGTTAGATAAATGGAGGCAATCGGATTCCTAATAAAGCAGGAATCAGGGTTGTGGCATTCAAACCTGCAAAAAAAATCAGGTAGGACAAGCTCTGTACATTAAAGGACCAGGTTGACCCAATTAAACAAAATAATAAAATTTACAAAATACCTTGCAATGACTGTGAGGTTAGCTACATAGGTCAAACTAGTAGATTGGGGGTAGTCAGACTGTCAGAACATAAGTATTTAGCTAAGGTCGGAATGTTTGATCCTACGAAGACAAGTAATTTAGAAAAAAAGCTCAGCGATTGCACTGCATGCATTAACACACAACCATAAAATATCATGGTGGGAGAGGGTTAAGATTCTAAGTAATCTATGTAGGTGGACAGCGAGAGAGGTTGATTACTAAATCCCTTCTGGTTCATTGAGTCAATACCCAACACACCACATGCAACAGAAATGACTCAATGAAAATACCAGAAATATGCATGGAAGATATTATTACCACCAGTCAGTCAAATCAGAAGAGGACAATAAATAATCTCAAAATTCTATTTGAATTCAAGCACATCACAACATTCTAACAAGTTACTTATTACTGATGACTGTAAAAACACTCGTCTAATTTCCCATCTGATTGTAATTGATGAGTAACACTCATATTATTATTTCTGAATGTACATCATCCCACAATTATTTTTATTCCAATATCTAATCGATTCCACACATGTATATAAATGAAGGAAACAGTTGTGTGAGTGAGTGACTTGATATGATTATGAGTGGCAATAATTTGTGCTCGAAACCTGGTCATCAGTTAGTATTACTGTATAACAACACTGTTTGACTTATCAAAATAATATCTTATCTATAATGGAGTTGTACTCTACCACAGTGCCTAAATTTAATACTTATATCAATCAAACATCTAGCATGATCGCCGTATTAAAATTTCACTTATAGAATTCTGTATGCACCAAACGAATGACTAGACACATGATATTAGTTAATCACTAGTGTCATCAAAAATATCTAATATATTCCCCTAGGAGGTGAACTGCTGGTTCAAATAGCTCAGTGGTAACGTGTCTGACTGCGACACTGGGTAGTACCGGTTCGATTGCTGATGAGTGTCAATTAACATGGAATTTAGGCGCAGCTAGGCATTATTGCGAACTGCCTCCAAAGATCCAAACTGTGCCATCTGTTAGTCCGTTCCATTTCAGTCATATATGCACAATAATATAAAGAAATAAAAATTTAGTATATTTTAATAGAAATTATGTCTCAAATCCTTCACATTTAAGAAAAAAAAGATGATAAAAATGAATAGAAGGAATTAAAAATTGTCTTAGTTCTCTATCATGAGATTATTACTCAAACTGTAAGTAGCTCCTTTGATTTCAGCTCAACTGTGTTTCATCAGCTGTCAAATCAGATATCAGTGATACTTTCATTGTCTAAAAGCTTTGCGTAACTTCCATAAGTGGTTGTATTACGACGCATAATATGAACACAAGGACCAAGTAGCCTTTCAAAACTATCCACATCTAAGTAAGCTGTTGTCACATTACCACGTGCATAGACAGATGCTGCTCTTGGTTTTCTAACCAGTAAAGCAAGTTCGCCAAAATAGCTGCCTTTACCTAATTCACACATCACAGATTCCACACCATTCTCATCCTCTCGCTTAACAATAACATTCCCTTCCATGATAAAGTAGATTTCATAACCAGGATCCCCTTGTCTAATAATACACTCATTATCTGTATATTTTCGTGTACGTAAAGCATCTGCGATGTTCATTCTTTCATCTGGACTCAATTCATGAAACATTTTAACCGAGTGTAAAAGATCAAGGAATTTAAAACGTTGTTTTGATGCATACGATAAAATAAGTTTTTGAAAATGTCTTCTGGTGATATACCAAAGTTTTCCACTAGTTCTTGCAATCACCGAGGCCGATCTCGGTGCATTATAAATTAGGGCTAATTCACCAAATGAACCTTCATTATTATAGGTATACACGCAAGTTTCTCCCCCATAGATATCACTTTTTAGCGCATCATAAATTCCACTTTCAATAACATAGAAATTATCTCCATCATCGTCTTGTTCAATGATTGTTTCCCCGGATTCCACTGGTCTACACTTCATAACATCAATGATTTTCAATAGGGTTTCATCATCTCTAGACGCGAAGATGGCATTCTTTTTGCATACATCTAAGAGCATAATTTTTTGTTCGTCCGATTTCACCATTGCTTCATCCGCCTCCTGTTCGTCATCCTCCTCGTCATCATCTTCCGGATTGTAACGTTCAGCAGCAACACTAGGTCGACGAGATTTTAACGATTTATGTGTACTTAAATCTTGAATATCAAAGCTGAAGACGCTATCTGTCTCACTGACTTCACTTTGTTGTTGTGGTTTAAATCCAACATTGGCAACTTTACTTGTCGGTGTAACATTTTTAATCATTACAGTCTTATGCACGGTAGGTTTATTTTGTGTATTCGATAATTCAGTGAAATATTGGGCTCCAAATGTGATGATATTAGCTGGTTTCGCCTTAAGTACAGCTATTGAAAATTGTAAAAGAATGTCAACCAAGTCAGGCGGTAGATCATTGCTGTTATTTGGCTCCATGATTTATGAAAGGATAACGTGAAAATAGTTAGTTCCGGGGATATATAAGTTTTGTAGTGTTCACTAATAAATATATTTATTACATATTTCAGGTTTCATTGATTTTCAGCTTTAAGTTTTCGGTTGAATGCAATCACGTGATACAAGTAGGATTATCAACTTCTTTATTTAGCTCACTGCGTGCGAAACGTGCAATTAGAATTCTAGTTCAAAATGGGTATATTGTTTGAACATAACCTATGCACTATCACACGTTTATGATTATTATTATTATAGTTCCCTTGAGTTCCTAATAGAACATAGGGTTTCAACTGCAGGTCTCCATTTGCTTCTGTCTTCTGCTGTATTTTCCACCTGCATCCATGTTAGTCCATACTCTTTCAACTCCTCTTCATAGTATCTCCTTCATGTCACCCTTGCACTGACGTCTCCCTCGCCGCTTCCCTTTCGGCCTGGTTCCACTCGAGCAATGGCCTGATGCGTGCGCGGTGACACCTAGCAGCTTCCTCAGCGAGTGAGTGTCCAATCCATCTCCATCCACTATCTCCTGCATATTTGTTGGTTGGCGATTGGTTCTTGTTCTGTTTGTTCCCAGCCATAGTTTCTTGTTGGTGATTCTTTCCGGCCCGGGCCGGCCATCTGATCTTCAGTACACAGCCAGCGAAGACAGTTGTTGATAAAGGTAAAGTCTGCAACAGGCTGTTGGAAATATTCTTTGTGACCCGCCCGCCAAGTTTCTCATCCGTATAGAAGAGCTGACTGACTTGACGTTTTTATTGAAAATCCAACCGAATTTTGTTGCTGATTCTGAGTATCAGCGGAAGATTTCCAGATTGGTTTCAGGTTGATAAATGTGTTACTCACCTTCCTGATTCTCTTTCGATTTGATATCCTCGTCGGTTCCGACTGCCTGTAGTTGATACAATGCTCCCTAGATAAGTGGTGAATGAAGTAACCTCTTTCAAATCGCTCCTGTTGATGGTGATTGGCGCTGGATATTGCTGGTGTTGTTGTTATTGTTGGCTGGTTAATTTCATAACCTCCGTCTTGTCTATGTACACTTGGAGTCCTGTATTCGCCGGCTGCTTCTTCGACCAGTTTGTAAGTTTTCGCTTGTAAGTCTTCGATTTTGTGTGACATCAAACATAAATCATCCACGCGCGAAATCCAGGTCTTCTAGGTTCTTCACGTCGGTCCGGGATATCCCTGTCTTCTCGTTTCGCACTCACTGTCTGACTCATAATCCAGTCCACCACAATTAGGAATAACATTGGTGATAATAACCGTCCTTGTCTGACTCCTCTGTTTACTCTTAACGCCTCGATGAGTTTTCCTTTGTGGGTCACTTGACATGTGCCGTTGTCGTACAGCTGTTGAATAAGGTTGATGAATATTTTGGCGCTGCCTGCCGTAGTACTCGAGTAGTTTCCAAATTACTTCGCGGTCAACGCTGTCAAATGCCTTCTCAAAGTCTAGCCTATTCTTGATCTGACATCGCGGTCCGTTCCGACTGCCTGTAGTTGAGACAATGCTCCCTAGATAAGTGGTGAATGAAGTAAATTCTTTCAAATCGCTCCTGTTGATGGTGATTGGGGCTGGATATTGCTGGTGTTGTTGTTATTGTTGGCTGGTTATTTTCATAACCTCCGTCTTGTCTATGTACACTTGGAGTCCTGTATTCGCTGGCTGCTTCTTCGACCAGTTTGTCGGTTTTATTATCACAATTTACTGATATGATAGAGAAGATTTGTAGCTCAGGTGGATAATTTTGATGTGGTTTTGTTCTCTGAGCTGGATGGTCAGTTTACGAAGCATCCATCGCCCTACTAGGCGACATCTTCAGCGCATACTTCAATTTCAAGTGAGCCTTCAAATTGCTCCACGAGTTTATCAATCATCTCTCCTGGTGACCTTGGACGTGACTGATTGTTTTTGTGTGTTTTCACACCTTCTAGGTTACTTGTGTTGGAACTGATTGTTTCTGTGACTTGAACTTTGACCATTTCTGTCTGAAGTTTCTGAGGATATCTCAGAAATCACTACAAGACTCTTCAAACCTTCAGGAATTGACGTCGTACACAAACCAACAAAGTCGCTGCACTCAATTCTATGTCAACCAAAAGACTCAACAGCGAAAGAAGACAAAACCAACATCATCTACAAAATGAGTTGTAACAACTGTGAAAAAAACTACATTGGCCAAAGTGGACTACCCTGTTCTTCGTCTTCGTATCCACGAACATAATCTAGCCGTCAAAAGACATGATATCTACTCCCTCATATCACTCACTGCATACAGACAACCACGGACAGCAATTCGACTGAGACAACCAACGTTCAAATATTAGACAGAGGAAAAACAAGAATGATAGAGAATTTTCGGAAGCTTCCTGGCATTCCAGTGAATCATCAATCAATAGACACATCGAGATAGACAAAATTCACCAACCAATAAGAAAGAAACTTCAGACACAAAGGGTCAAAGTTCAAGTCACAGAAACAATCAGTTCCAACACAAGTAACCTAGAAGGTGTGAAAACACACAAAAACAACCAATCACGTCCAAGGTCACCAGGAGAGGTGACTGATAAACTCGTGGAGCAACTTGAAGGCTCACTTGAAATTGAAGTATGCGCTGAAGATGTCACCCAGTAGGGCGATGGATGCTTCGCAAACTGACCATCCAGCTCAGAGAACAAAACCACATCAAAAAAACAAGTTACTGAATTTGATTTATAACTGGCATACGATGAAGTTGTAAATGGCATGTAGGAATCTTTGTTTAATAAATAGGTAGTATTTAGTGACCTCTTTTAGTTATCTGGCTAATTAATCTCGTTTCAGCTAAAGGCCATAAAGACAAAAATGTTAAAGCCAGGCCGGAATGGAAAAGTGAGACAAGCCTTTATTAATCTGAAGTCAATTTGGAAGTCTACCGTACTTAGGGTAGAGAACAAGATCTTGACCTACAGCAATAACGTTTAGTCAGTCCAAAACGATGGCACACATAGTACCGAAAGCAGAGAGAAACGAAGTTCGACTGGATGGATGTGGAGTGCTATTGAAGGCCTATATTCCTTTTGGAGCCCAAAGGAAAAATAAAAATAATATAAGCAGTCATATCTTACTGAGAATTTAATTGGTGGATGGTGACTAGCAATGGAATCCAGGATGCGCATTTCGCCCAATTTGGGACTCGTACCTGCTATTTTTCAGTGAGTGATGATGACATGTCAACCTGAGACCGAGCACTTTGGTCCAATGAATCGACGAGAAAATCTCAAATTCAGTAAAAGTCATATCTTGCAATTGAAATGCTGATCTACACATAAATAAGAAATTTTTACCATAATTACTGCTATCCCACTTTCAGAGTGCAGTAAAAAGCTTCACCAAAACCTTTTCATTTCAGCCTGTTCACTGCAGTGTTCTAATCGTGGCGGCCTGTTTGACATCTGGGCTACCTTTTCCTGCATCTACATATTGCATCTAATAAGTCATGTTTTCATTCCTAATTTTAATAAAATATGATCACAAATCGCATAAAATACAGTAATTCATTCATTAAACGTTTTAAACCATATGACTTTCATGCATCTAATAAATCTAAGAGAAAACATCACGCTGGCTGGCAGCGTGCACTTAAACAGACACCTTTATATCGTACAACCATTCCTGTTATTGTCACTTCAAACTGCCGTTCACTTCCCAACAAAATTATGCATCTCCAGTCTCTCTTATCATCTGATACTTATCACAATACGGCGATTGTTGCATTACAAGAAACATGGCTCCATGAACTCTATGATGACAATCTGGTTTCCCTAAATGGTTTTACATTGTTTAGACAAGATCGACTATGCTCCAGAAAGAAAAGAGGTGGAGGTGTTGCAACTTTCATTCATTCTCAATGGTCAACTTCAAATAATGTATGTTTTTCTTACTCTAATGACTTTATTGATTGTATAACGGTCAAATGCCGCCCGAAACACTTATCCAAGTTTAAATACGTCTTCATCTCTAACATTTATGTTACTCCTGGCTGTTCTGCATCTGATCTATCTGATTTTGCTGATGAATTCACTGAATTCGCCGTTACACATCTTGAAAACTCTTTATCAGTTGTCACAGGAGATTTTAACTGCTGTGATTGTTCTTTCCTCGTATCATTAGGTCATGCCAATATTGTTAAATTCCCTACTCGACTTGATAAAACCCTTGACCTAGTGTTCATTAATGATGAGGAAATATATGAAGTACGCCGACGTGCTCCTATCATGAACTCAGATCATTGTATTATTCGGATATTACCTAAGATATACAGCAGATCTCACTTTAATATCTTCTCAAATCTGTCCAAGAAACACAGCAAAGGTGTTACTCACAAGAAAATATGCTCAAACTAAGATGTATGCTAAATGACACTAACTGGGAACTTTTCAACGAACACAAACTGGATGATACTATTTCCAATTTGACTGACTATCTTAAATTCTGTCTTGATATATGCTGTCCAAAACAGATAATTTTCAAAAGAATGGATCGTTTTTCTTCCCCTCATCTCAAAAAACTTCGTAGAGAAAAAGAGAAGCTGTACAAGACAAAGAATAAATCTGGTCTTAAGAAGATAAACACCCAAATTAAATCTGAAATCAAGAGACTAAACAACATTTATAATCAAACAATACTATCTTGTAAAACCTCAGAAAACATATGGAAGCTTTTTAGAGAAATTACTGGTTGTGGTAAGCATAATAATTTTGCCTCTTCTATTGATGTAAATACTCTCAATAGATCTTTCATCCGCCCTCCAAATGTCCTTTCTGCCTTCAATTTAACTAATAACACGACCAGTGACTTTCATCGTTTCAATACTTCTGATGTTCTTAAATGTTTGAAATCTCTTAAACCTTCCCAGAGTCTAGGCCCTGATGGTATACCTGCCATTGTTTTAAAGAAATGTGCTGATATTTTAAGTAACCCACTTACAAGCATTTTCAATACTTCTTTTTCTAATAATAATGTACCTTCTCTGTGGAAAGATATTAAAATCAT